ACAGGATGGGGCACAGAACACAGGCGCTGCGTGGTTTCCCTCTTCTGCAATCCAAAATGTAAACCAAGCGCTGCCCTTTTGCTCCCAACTGAAAATGCAGTCGTGTTTCTGCATAGAGCTCCACTGTCAGCTAAAAAAGCCCAAAATTGGGACTGGGGGAAGCAGGTATGTAGGATCTCCCCCAGGACTAATACTTAAATCTGTGACTTTTTTCATTCCCAATATGAGAGTTCCAAAAAACAGTTTAATAGGAGGGAAAAAAAAAAGACTACAGAAAGACGTGTTAAAGCATTTATTAATCTCTCCATTGGCAAAACTCAGTTTAATTTAAAAAAGTATTAAATTAAACACAGCTCCTGGGCAATGTCACATCCCAAAACCCAGCGTTCTCTTGCTGGCTAGGTATTTTAAAATGTAAAACCAACTCCTCCCCAAAAACCCATCGCAGGCGATCAAAGGGCTCATTAGTTTGTAAGGCTGTGTGCAAGTCCTGCGGCTCTGAAGGCACAGAAGGATGATAAACACTTCAATTAAAAACATTAACGGCTTTCCATAGAATAAAATTCTCCCTCTGAATTGTTTCCTATCTGCTAGGATAGGAATAAATGCAATAAGTGTCTCTATGTCCCACCATGGAGTTATGGCCGGCATTTTCTGCATAGCAGAGGCTTTTCCCATCTCCTCAGAGAGTCTCGTGCCTTGTGCTGTGAGGTGCTACTGTGAACCACCTCGAATTTGGACTGAATGTCATGATTTCCAGTCACTGAAAGTCAAAGCTTCGCCCCTTTGAATCACAGAATCCCAGCATGTGAGGAGTTGGAAGGGCCCTGGAAAGCTCCCCCAGTGCAACCCCTGCCAGAGCAGGATCACCAGAGCAGTCACACAGGAACACGGCCAGGGCTTTGGGTGTCTCCACACAAGGAGACTCCACAACCTCTCTGGGCAGCCTGGGCCATGCTCCAGAACCCTCACACTCACAAACTTTGGCCTCATCTTCAGCTTGAACCTCCTGTGCTCCAGCTTGGGACCATTGCCCCTTGTCCTGCCATTGGCCATCCCAGAGCAGAGCCTGGCTCCTTCCTCCTGACACTGCCCTTTCCCAATGGATCCCCAGGAATGAGGGCACCCCTCAGGCTCCTCTGCTCCAAGCTCCAGAGCCCCAGCTCCCTCAGCCGCTCCTCAGCAGGAGATGCTCCACTCCCTCCATCACTTTGTGGCCTTGCTGGGCTCTTTCAAGCAGGCGAGTTTTGAGGTTTTTTGAGTTTCGGAGATCATCTGCTCTGGGAGAAGAAGCCGAGCACTTTGCAACACCTACAAAAATCCTAATTAAAAACCCTTGCTCGCAAATCCTGTCAAGTTTTATGGTTCATGTACATAAACGCTTGTGTGATAAAAAAATGAATTATAATAGAGGAGGAGGGGGGAAAAAAGAGTTTTAAGAAGCGAAGGAGAACTAAAGGCTGCGTTGTCTGTGCTGCCTGTAAATCCGTTTCTGAAGGAGTGGATGAGTACCATGGCCGGAGCCCCGCAGCCCACGCTGCCATCAATAAAGGATGAGGAGAAAACACAGAGCAGATCTTTCGCCCGTGTTTATCCACTCCAAAGACACAGGAGCGTTGGTCAGGCTTTCCCCTCCAGACCCAAGCCTAAGGTGCCAAGTGAAAATCACTTGGTTGTCTTCTTAAGTAATGGACTCATTAATCCTAATGGCTATTGATTGAGGACAAAATACATTACGTCCTTATTAATGAGCCTGTCCTAGCACACAGGGAGCTCTCCTGTGCAGTAATGAATTTCCCTAGGAAAGACGAAGCAGCACACGGTGAACTGAAGAGAGGGCAGCAAAACACACCCCGTGTGGCTGCGGGTGAAGGGGAGCACCCATCTGCACCCCCAGACCTTCACCATCCTCCTCCAGTGCTCAGTTCCTCCCCCTCGCTGCCCTGTTCAGGGCAACTTGGGTTAACCACAACTAAGACCCCAAATTTTGCCCAAAATAGCTGTATCCCAGTGAAGATTGATGGCGGATCCAACCAGAGAGCTGCACGTGCTCCAGGCTGAAAACAGGCCTTGTCTGCTTATCAACATCTGCTGATCACACGTCAGAGCCATTTCCCAGCCTTCACAACTGGTTCTGTGTTTTTTTCTTTCTTTATTTTTCTCTTCTATTTTGGGACAGAAGCTGAGAGGCTCAGGAAAGGCACCGAGCGCAATGAGAAGCTGCAGTTGCACGCAGCCGCTTATTTTTTCCATTAAAACAGCGTTGGAAAGGCAGCGATGGGGAGAAAACAGAAGAAAAGAGGCGCAGAAATGAGATGAGGCTCTGAGGTGAGATCAGAACGATGCGGGATAAACGTAACCATGAACCCCAGGGAGTTAAAGCTCCGTCGGTACCATCCGTGCACGTAGGATAACCCACCTGGAGCGACGAAGTGCTTGACGCTGGTGAACCTGGCCTTGTCGGGCACCGTGGCCAGGGAGCAGCCCTTTGGCACCGTCCAGTCCCCGGTCCTGCCGGGTTTCTCCTTCTCCTCGGCCGTTTCGTACACCTCGACGTGCGGGGGCTTCTCGGTCAGGTTCTTGCTGTAGTGGCTCAGGCCGTACTGGGCGATCTGGATGGGGTAGAAGTAGCCTTGAGGGCCCCACTGCGTGGATAAGGGCACGCCTGAGAGAAAGGGAGAAAATGAGGGGTTTACCAGCACGTCTGTGAAAACCGCTCCTCCTCCACACCCCATCACTCCTTTGCTTCTGGAAAATGGCATTTTTAGGCTTCCCCGTGAGTTAGAATCATGAAAAGCCCTTTTCTAGGAGTGAATTGTTGTGGTTGTGGTCAATGGAGCAAAGTCCAGCTG